CATGCAGAGTGAGGTTGGATATTTATTTAGTGGGTTATGGAAAAGAAGGGGAGAGATAGGGAGATAGGGGATGAGGAAAGAAACAGGAGGGGGAGCCACAGCAACAGCTACCTCTTTGGGAGAGATACAGAAAAGGAAAGGCTCAGACTGGAAGCAGAAGGAAAATCTGCCTGCCTTAGCAGTAGATGGGGCTGGGGGAAGTGGCGGATAGGGGAAGCTTGTCTCTTAAAGAGACAGTATCAACCATTACAATTGTTAAAAATTTAGAAAAAGTGTAGAAGGAGAAAGAAAATTATTTAAAATGTTAGGTACATGGTGATTTTTATGTGCTTATTAAAGGGTTAAGTAGGTAAAATTTTTCCTTGTATTTATTCATGTTTTAGTCTTTGAAGAAATTAGTTTGTGTTTTATGATAACTAAAAAACTGAAATGTGATGTGTAAGATGAAGGCACTGGAGAGTAGGAAGAGCTTCTTCACCACTCACTGCACGTGTCTCCCTACAGCCCCTCACCACCTACAGCAGTATGTGTCTCTCTTTACCCACTTTACCTAGCACTTGACAGATGAAGCCATAATTGCTCCTTTTGGCATCATTATGAGGTCTCCTTCATTACTTTCTAGGGTTCTGTGTTTTATATCAAAAAGAAAAACGGCAAGAAAGTTTCAAAGACAGTGAAAAAAATAAAGCCTTAGAGGACAACAATGAAAACCCGCTGTCAAGTTTCCATTTATGCCCGTGTATAGGGATAGCTGGTTTATTTTAAAGTATAGGATAGAGGAAGAAAAACACTAATCACAAACAGTTTACCTTTTAGTACATAGACAATTTACATTGATATAAAAGTACAGTTGTGTTCTTTAGCAAAGATCTAAAATATAAATAGTTGCTTGCTAGGAGATGGTGATTGCTTACAGGTACTAACACACCATTAACTCTTTTGTCAGTACTGTGTGGAAATAAACTCTGACTAAAATAACTTAAGATATGAACCTTCGAAACTGCTATTGCATTCAATATCTTGAAAATACTTCAATATTGGCTAATTTCCCTCTTTCACTACTCATGTTAAATGACAGTATTTAAAACCAATACCAATCATGCTTTGTAATTTATCTACTATCCTTTTTATCTCAGTATCATTTTGTGATAATTAGTAAAAAATCATATGTTTATATCTTTTTCTTAATTCAGATGAGTGTTACTTTTTAACCACACTGCTATGTAAAATTTTCATTGATGACACACAGTAATCAAACCATTTACTGATACAATATTCTGAGACCCTTCATTCTCCAAAAAACACAATTTATACTCAATGTCCATATTTTTTCCATATCTATAAGCTACAAATGATAACTAGATACATAGAAAGACAATAGAGGACTATGTTTTTGCCCTTGCATATAATCACAATTCAGAAAACACAGATAATCTTCTTTAAAGAAGTTAGATCTTTAAGTTTGAATGTTAATGTGTGCTTGATCACAAGCATATCAAATTTGTTGAGAAAATGTTAACATCATTCCTTTTGGTCTCATATTGCTAGTGAAAATAGATAGCTGAGTTTCTTCCATTTTGTGTTAATAATAAAACAAAATTAAATTTTAAAATTTTAAGATTTGCTAGGGTTAATAGAACAACAACCTTTGCTCTGTGTTTCCAAGGTATGTATTATGGTTAATGCATCTATATTTGCCAAGTGTTTTTGTTGCTGTTGATGATGAAGAAACTGGATCTTAGCATCAAGGCACATAATATTAACTATTCCCCTGTACAGCTCCCCATTACTGCTATTTGTTATTTAAGAATGAACTCCAGAAATGTAATTTCTTCCCTTTGTCTATGTTTGCAATGCGAATGCAGGAACTCTGAAGACTTTAGTGGAATAATTTACATTGGGTAAGAATATTAAGCTGTTTCTCCACAACCTCTCCAGCAAAGGCTATCATTGGTGTTTTTGATTTTAGCCATTCTGACAGGTGTAAGATGATATCTCAAAGTTGTTTTGATTTGCATTTCCCTGATCGCTAAGGAGGTTGAGCATAACCTTAAGTGTCTCTTAGCCATTTGAATTTCTTCTGTTGGGAATTCTCTGTTCAGGTCAGTGCCCCATTTTTTAATTGGGTTAATTAGCATTTTAAAGTCTAGTTTCTTGAGTTCTTTATATATTTTGGAGATCAGACCTTTGTCTGTTGCGGGGGTGGTGAAGATCTTCTCCCAGTCAGTGGGTTGCCTTTTTGTCTTAGTGACAGTGAGCAGCAAAGAAGTCAGGACCACGAGGGGTGCACCCACCCACGGAGACAGTGGGGCTGATCTATTGTGAGTTCACCAAGGCCAGCTGGACTGCGACTGAAAAAGCATGGGATAAAACCGGACTCTGAATATGGCGGACAATGAGGGCTGCTGAGAAGCCAAGGACAATGGCACTGGGTTTGTATGTTCTGGCTATGTGGGAGCCTAGCCAGTTTGGATGTCCACCTTCCTAGACCAGGATGGAGCGGGGAGGACTTTGGACTTTCCACAGGGCAGGGAACCCTGACTGCCCCTCAGACTGGAGAGGGAGGGGGAGAGGAGTGGGGGGAGGGGGAGTGGAGAGGGAGGAGGGGGGAAAAGGGAGACGGGGAGGGAAATGGGAGGCGGGGAGGAGGCGGAAATTTTTTTTTCAATAAAAATTATATTTAAAAAAAATAAAAAAAGAATATTAAGCTGTCAAAAACTTTCATAGAACTCTGACTTCAGTACTTCCTTTGCTTAGTTTTATGTTCAGGCAAGGAATTCTTCCCAATATTCCCTAATGGTGTAATGAAATACCTGATTAGCACCAAATGTATTAGAAAACACATGTAGAACACAAAGGAAGAAATGTGTCTCATTCTCTAAAGGTCTCTTAAGTCAGTATCCCATGGACTACTAAACATATGTTGGTATTCAGGCTATGTTTATGGCCCCTGTTTACTCACTCATCTCTTTCTAAAGTGGATCAGCATTTCTATTTCTTTTGTGCAGTGAAGCCCTGAGCTACCTGGAATCAGCATGTGATGTGTGATTCCCCTCTGTATGCTGTGATTACCATTAATGAATAAAGAATCTGCCTTGACCTACGATGGGAGAGAGTAGAGTTAGGCAGGGAAAACTAAATTGAATGATGGGAGAAAGAAGGTGGATTCAAGAAAACACCATGTAGCCACCACCAGGAACAGATAAGCCAGAATCTTGCTGTTAAGCCACAGCTACGTGGTGATGTACAGATTAATAGAAATAGGTTAAATTTAGATGCAAGAGCTAGCCAATAAGAAGCAAGAGCTAATAGGCCAAGCAGTGATTTAAATAATATAATTTTTGTGTGATTATTTTTCAGGGCTGAGCAGTCAGGAACAAACAAACTGTCACCTACAGCTAGCATGCATTTATACTCTAAGGTAAAGTCAAGCACTTTTTGTCTCTGGAGGTTTCATCAGGTATGCCATCTTATTGTGTATCTGATATTGATGCAGTTTCAAGCTGCCCTTTCACAAATGCCCTTGATTTTTATAATCAGCAGAGAGCAAGAAATACAGAAAAATATTTCATCATTTTACAGTCCTCTAATTCTTAGCTTAAAAATAACAAACAAATGCAGACCAAGTACCCAGACTTTTAAGTGACTATCATGCATACATTTATATATACAGAGGAAAAATCTATTTTATCCATTTAGATTCCTATATCTTCATTTGTACATGTGTATATAATATTTTGTGTAAGATAGATATATAATTTCTAAGTGTTAGAAATACAGCTAGTATTTTAAATGCTGAGAAAGTACTTGGTGATAACTTTCCCCTAGTTTATATAAATAATAATTTGGAATAGAAAGATGAAAGTAGTAAAACGGAATTCAGCTAACTAGAGTTGATTGTTAAAGAAAACATGATAAGTATTATGAGCCTAGAAAAAAATTATGCAGATTGTAATTCAAGCTTCACTTATTTTTAGAGATTCAAAAATAAATTTACAGAGTTCTTAGACCTCAGGAGACAGATCTAGACTCCCCCACTCTCTGAATTTTAAGTTGTTTTTTTTTTTTATGTCGGATGCTGGGGTTGGGTCAGTTTACCACAGTTCCCTTTGTGAAGAATAAAAACAGTTTGTCACATTTTGCTAAGATTTAAAGATGATTAAATTATTCTAGTAAGCATATATAAATATGGATTATTTTAATGGCACTGAAATATCAATATATCCTGCAAAGTCTATCCTGAAGAGGCAGGCTTTGACAGGTTAGATAAATAATTGTAAACGTAAAAATTCATAGAATGCTATTTGATATCAGGAATCATAAATTTATTTTCTCCACACTGGAAAACTTAGTTTTCTTTAAATAATGAAATTATGACTAAAAATAGGCAGTAGAAATATTCCTTGTAAATCCAGTCCTTCACCTGAGAGAGCAAACCCTTCTTTACTGAAAGTAAAATGTGTAACAGACAGGACAGTAAGGTGGCTCAGGGCAAAGGCATCCATTGCAAAGCCTGACAACCCAAGTTTCATATCTAGGACAACATGGTGGATGGCAAGAAACAACTAAAAGTTACCACTATTTCCTCTTCACAAGTACACAATGACACCTGTGCATTTCCATATTTCACATACACATGCACACAAATTAAATAATCAGAAGTTCAATAAGTAAACATATTAAAATAAAACTTTGGATGGAAAAGCTAGACAACCTATTTTTATGGTCATCTGAAGTAGCCATGCATTTAAAATAAAAGACAAACAGTTTCATATTAAGAGCAAGTGCTAATTGTTTTACTGAGGATTTATATTTTTATAAACCATTAGTCACAAGCTATATCTTGAAAGATTTTATCTGTTATCATCTTTACTACTTTAAGAGCATTCTCTTGACTTTTCTTGACATTCTCCTTTCCTCACCTCCCCCAACAAACAGTAGCATACACAAACAACATAAAAGAACATTTCCTCACTTGTAAGATGCAGAGACATTCTCACCTTAGTAATGGCTTCATGGAGTCTGAAAGATGGATCAACATCTTCAATTTTGGTTGCGTGTTTAGGAAAAATGGCTTCAGAGAGAAAAGTTGGACCCTGTAAAAACAAAAAGAACTCTTCATGAGTTTGGTTTGGTGACTTTCATTGAATTTCCTTCAAAGATGCACAAAGCTTAAAATCACTGTAAGGTTTCTGTTGATTCTGAGATCCAACCAACTGATCTAATCATCCATCCCCAGTGTTTGTTAATGAAAATAAGGAGAACTCTATGACTTTTGACATTTTATGTACTCACAAAATAGTGTTTCTCACCAAAAAGATGACTTTTCTATTTCTTTCATATTGGCACTATTTATAATTTATATTTACCAATGTTAAGGAGATGTTTTGATGACAAAATTGATATTGAAATTCTCTTTTCTACTTTTACGTTCTGTGTGTTTATGGATGGAAGACTACAGTGCTTTTGATGAATATGACTACCTAGAAAAGCATAGAAAAAGTGTGTTATGGTATTTTAAATATAATTGTGGTATCATCACATATAGGTAGAAATTACATTATGTCTTTATGGCTTGACTATAAAGTGATTAAGCATAGTATCAAAATCTCAGTGTTTGGGTGAATGGAATGAATTAAAAATAATCCAAAAATTTAGTTTTATTTACAGTCTAACCGAGGTTTAGTATTTAGGAAGACATAGAACACTGATTCTGTTTCTATTTACATCAGTGCAATTGGTGTCATCAACGTGCTATTCATTTTCTTTAAAGCCATTTTTCTTACTGTGTCAATAAAATCCTGATTTAGGAACCTGGAGGTTAAATCATGCTGAAAAACTTTATGTCAATTTGTCATAAGACAACGTCCTCTGAGAGGAAGTAGCCTAAAATATGTATAACCAGGCAGTAGACAAGCCTGTAGAGTATTTTCTTAATTAATGATTGATGGGTTATGACCCAAACTATCTTGAGCAGTTCCCTCCCTGAGCTTGTGATCCTGCATTCTAACTGAGCCAGCTACGAAGAGCAATTGTAAACAACACCCCAGCCTCTGTATCAGTTCCTGCCTCCAGGTCCCTGCCATTACTGCTTTGTTATATGGAACTGTGAGGAAAATAATCGTTTTACTTCCCAAGTTGCTTTAGGTCATAGTGTTTCATCACAGCAATGAAAATCCTAAGACAAGTTGTTAGTGGGGTATTGTTATGACAGACCTGACCATTTTTTTTCCCTTTAGCAGGGGGCACTATTGTGAAAGAATTCTAGAAATTTGGGCATTGAGTGTTTAGAACAAAGTGAGCTGTTCTATTGGAACTTGGAATATAATTATTTTGGGAGCAATGTTGATGATGGAGGCCTGGCTTCTGAAGTTTCAGAGAGATGTTTAAAGTTTTTATTGGGGTCATTTGTTATTTTTGAATTAAGGTTCTATGGTTCTGGTTATTTGGGGCTGAAGAACCAGCTAAGATTAACAAGATAACAGAACTAGTAAAGAAGCTGTATTTCAGGGTCAGCCAAGGTTGCACTTTATCCTGGCATCTGAACGTGGTAGTGTAAGGGTCACCCAGGTAATACTAGTACTGAAGGCATGAAATAAGGATCATGGAGAGCAGTTGAGGCTTGGCACTGTGAAAGACCAGAAGAGGCCATTGGCGAAGGTGCAACTTCAGCAGAAGTTGAACACCTGGGATTACAGGGGTCATAAAGAGAAGTTGAGACAAGACACTATAAGAACATGTAAGAGAGATTATCGGTGAAAGTGCTGGCCAGTTGCAGCAGAAGAACCAGAATTCTATAGATGCCACCAACATGGGATGACCATCAAGGACAGTAGTAGCAATGAAGTAGCACCTGCTTGAGCTTAGAAGACAAAATATATGTGCTTCAGAGGACAGAACTACAGAGGTCATGCAAACACTTGGGAGGAGCACAGAAAACTGAGTTGATTCCAGAATTTGGACACGGTGTAATTTACATTGGTTTTGCCTTGACCTGATTGTGATTATACACCCATTTTTCCCTCTTTAAGTAAAAAAGTATTTAACCTAATTTTTATTTTTGCAAGAAACTTTTAAAAAATATTTTGAATTTTTTTATTTTTTTAAATTTTTTATTTATTTATTAAAGATTTCTGACTCTTCCCCGCCACCGCCTCCCATTTCCCTCCCCCTCCCCCAATTAAGTCCCCCTCCTTCGTCAGCCCAAAGAACAATCAAGTTTCCCTGCCCTGTGGGAAGTCCAAGGACCACCCACCTCCATCCAGGTCTAGTAAGGTGAGCATCCAAACTGCCTAGGCTCCCACAAAGCCAGTTCGTGCAGTAGGATCAAAAACCCATTGCCAATGTTCTTGAGTTCTCAGTAGTCCTCATTGTCCACTATGTTCAGTGTGTCCGGTTTTATCCCAGGCTTTTTCAGATCCAGGCCAGCTGGCCTTGGTGAGTTCCCGATAGAACATCCCCATTGTCTCAGTGTGTGGGTGCACCCCCGTACTACTCAGCAGTATAAAACAAGGACTTTTTGAATTTTGCATACAAATGGATGGAAATTGAAAACACTATACTGAGTGAGGTAAGCCAGACCCAAAAAGAGGAATATTTTGAATTTTTAAAAACATTGGAAATTTAAAGGGATTAAAATTTTAATGTGTTTTAATAAGTAAAGACTATGGGACTGTTAAAGTTATTAATGTTTTTAATGTGTGGGTTTTTTTTTTCTTTTCGTATTTTTAAACAGGGTTTTTCTGTGTAGTCCTGGGTGTCCTACATCTTGGCTGAGCAAGCTATGTGGAGCAAGCCAGAAAGCAGCACTCCTCCATGGCCTCATCTTCAGTTCCTGCCTCAAGATTCCTACCTTGAGTTGCTGCCCTTACTGCTTTGTTATATGAACCCATGAGCAAATAATCCCCTTTTCTCCCAAGTTGCTTTTGTTCATGGTTTTTTATTACACCAAAAGTAACCCTAAGTAGGATATTCATTTTATAGAAAACAGAAAATTTGGGGCAGGATCTATGTAAGTATGCAGGTAGATAGGTAGGTAGATAGACAGGTAGAGAGACAGACACACAGACAGACAGATAGATAGGTAGATGAGAGTTAAAGACATAATACAGAAATAGATTAATAATTACCCTAAAAGGAGATTTTTAAAATGTATATCTGTAATGATTGTAGAAAAGTAATGATCCAAATTTCTGTAGCTATTTTTGTTCTTAATTGAAGCAGTCTGTCTTGAAAGAAGAAGAAAAAGTAATGTGTAGCTGAATATTTCTTGTCCTGCCTGGATCCACAGCCATATTTATTAATTACAGACTACTATCTCAGACTTATTATTGACTAACTCTTAAAACTTAAATTTCTAATAGTTTATTTTATCATGAGACTCATGGCTTGTTACCTCATACCTTGCTTCTCTGGATTGTGCTTGTGTCTTCTGACTCTGCCTACTTTTTTTCCTTTATCGGTGCTTGGATTGCCCACCTGGCTCTATTCTGCCAGGGTATTGGCCAAATCAGCTTCTTTATTAATTAATGGTAATAAACCATTTTCACATCATATAGAAGGGAATCGCACATCGGTAGTGAGATTCAGGAACCATATGTAAGGTGGAATGCTATGCTATGGCCTCTATGGCTTTGGAGTTGACTAGACTGGGGCAACAGATGATGAAGAAATGACGGACATACAGAGAAAAGCTGGGAAAAGGTGGGATATATACTCTAATGAAGAGCCACCAATAGAAGCTGGAAACTCAGCATGTTTATTGCAACTAGCATAGAGATAAATCTGAAACTAAATTAGTGCAAGCACAATGATTCATTTGTTGTATTTATTACAATTTAACAATTCATTTTTCTTCCTCTTTCCTTCTCCATCTTACTTGTCTCCCTCCTACAAATAATACCCTTTGTGCTTTCATGTCTTTCTTTCCAAAATTAAAGGCTAAAATACTTTGTCTCTATTTTTCCCTTTATCTTTCTGTGCCATACTCCCTCCCTTGCATATCCCTCCTCCTGCCCCCCCCTCTCTTCTCCACTCTCTCCTTCATACACAAACATATACATATATAACATGTATACCTTCATAGGTAACAGTAAATGCAATATTTACCTTTTTGAGTGAGTGAACCTGGCTTATTTTACTTAGTGTGATGATTTCTAGTTCCATTAATTATATAGCAAATTATTTCATTTTATTATTTATGGCCAAATACAGCTCTATTACGTATATACGACCATTTCTTTAAGCATGTAGACTAGTTCCATATACTGACCATTACGAGTAGAAAAGTGAAGGGGAATGTGCCAGATGAAAGGGAATATGAATAAAGTAATCTCACACTAGGTCTGAATAGGGCATAATAAGGAGAACTAACAGATCAAAATGGGGAACAGGAACAGAATCCAGCATCCAGATATGAGAGCAGAGGGAGAGAGAGTGGCAGGCACACACCTTTTGATACTCAAAGCCACGTCCAACCTGGTCCAGCCTCTCAAAAGTCATTGGCTGAAGAAGGTTGCCCATTACCTCTCTCTTTTGTCTAAATAAGATAGTTTTAACCCATTATAAAACTATGTACAATAAGAACAGATATCAAGTATGAAAATTAGAATTATAACCAGTATAAACAATATTAAGCAAAAAATATGTTAAATGTTTTAATAATTATTTTATCCTAAGTAGTTTAAGTCTTGTATTAGAAATGGCTTGGGTAAGTCATGAAAGGAAAACATTATGTTTACCTAATCTTCAGCCCTATTGAGGACCTGAGAAGAGAAATCATATTACTTGAGTAGGCAGGAAGTACAATCAAGCAGCTTTCAAAATGTGCAGTAGATGACAGAGACAATTGACTACCTGGCCAATTATCCAAAATCTCATTTGCAATGTTCAGCAAGCAACATTGATTAAGGCCTGACCTTATATTAACATTGGTTAAGGCAGACCATTTTTAGAGACAGAACAAATTTTCAAACCATCTTACCCTGTCTTGGCAAGATTTGGCAGGCTTGGTTGGTTGGTTGGTTGGTTGTTTTTGTATTTTGTTTTTCCAGTCCAGACATTGTACATTTTGTCAGTGGTCAAGGCTTGGGCAGTT